TAAACTATGTTAAAAAAAAAAAAAGCCAAGGAGAAGTAAACCACCAAATCCGTGTCAATATGTTTAGTTCTTATCCAAACATGTAATCTTTTCTCAGGTAAGCATTAAATTGAATAGGTAATCTTGTTTAAAGTTGTGTTACAACAGGTTGCTTTTATTAGTGCTGGATTATAGTGAAATAATTTAGTTCAAGGAGATACATAAACACTCTGCAAATATACCTTTTTCCTCTTTTTTTCAGGTATAGTCTGTCATATATTCCTTTTGCAAGGTGAGTCTGCATAATAATTTTCATCCTAACAAAAGTCAGTTACCTTTAGGCTGGGAAGTAAGTATGTGAGAAGAACATAACATCCTTCCATTCCTTTTTAATTTTTGGAAAATTCCATAGCTGAACTCAAAACTAATGCTTAATACAAGCTTTAAATACAAATAAAGTGCACAGTAATTATCTTAGATAAATTTCCCTCTAGTTTTCATCACTGAAAATAAATCAAGGTCTTGTTTAAATTCTCCAGTAATTTAAAAATACAGTGGTACAATAGTGACTTTTATGGTGTTAAAGTTAACTTACAGATTTGAGGTCTTAGTTAAAAGCAAATGAACAACATAGTTTCAGCTACTAAGTGTGCTTCTGAATTCCTCCATCATTTTTGGGAGAGGCAAAGGCAATGCTTTGTGTTAATTTTCATTTTGGTAAGCTTCTCTTTGTTTTCACTCTTGTGTACAAAAAGGGAATGAAAGCTAGCCAAACACAGAGTGAAAACACATGCAAGTAATCAAATATAAGAACATATTTTTTTCTAGAATGATTCATGTAAAATGCAGTTTGGTCTTTCAACAGTGTGTTTTTAAAAAACAAACCAAGTTTTTTTAAAGCTTCAGATTTCATCTAGGAAGGACTTTTTTTTTATATATAGTAGTTGATAGTTACAGTGGATAAAACACTTTACCTGAACTTAGGCTTCAAATTGTCATCTTCCTATTTCTGACAACCCAAGCCAACCCATTCAGAAGTAGTGTTCTGAATTCTTGCAGTTCCAGTAGCCAGGAGACAGCCTCAGTAGGCTCCCTCCTCTTCTTTTTTTTTTTTCTTTTTTTTTCTTTTTTTTTTTTTTTTTTTTTTTTTTTTTTTTTTTTTTTTTTTTTTTTTTTTTTTTTTTTTTTTTTTTTTTTTAATATTTTTTTTTAATGTTCTGCTCTTTACAGAAAGCAAGTTGAGCTTCTGGTCACTGTTTGGTTTTTTTCCCCTACCAATAGTACTTTAAGTTCTGGGCAGAAAAAGATCAGGTTACATACATCAGTTAATTTTTTGGGTTTATTTGTCTATTAGATTTTATGAGCCAAAGAATTGGATTTTATACAGATTACTTTTAGTAATTCAGTGAATTCTTTAAGGATTATTGAGTTCTTTGCTTATGTGGAATGCTATCATAAATTTCTTGGATAGGCTGCCTTTCTTACAGAAACAGTGCTCTAAACCTTGTTAAGTGCCAGAGAACAGCATTACGTCATTTGTATAAAGTATGCATTTCTCTTGATTTCAACTATTAATGGTTTACTCTTAAAAACAGTTAACTTGTTCATGGGTTTGTTGGGGGGGGTTGTTGGTTTGTATTTGGTTTTTTTTAGTTAATTGTGGCTCTGGCGAAAAAAGCCCCCTCAAACCAAACCCAAATGAAAACAACAAATGCCACAAAACCAAAATCCATACCTACAGTGACTTTAAATAGAGTCACGAAGGTATGTTTCTTCATTTTTCAAACTAACTAACAACAGAATACAAATTCCACTCCTTAGTAAGTTGTTACTTTCTGAGAAAATGAAAAATAAATAAGACTAAAGTGAGTCATGTAAGTATAACAGTCAGAAAACAGCTTATTTTCAATTAAAAAAATAACAGCCCTTGAGATCTTTCAAACCTTAAGGCTGCATCAGCTCTCCATCCTACACTGTCAGTATGTGCACTTTAAACCCTTCAGCCTGTGCTTTATTTCCTGCACTGTGATGGTCTAACTCCAGTGTGGTTTGGATTCAAAGCACCTGTGGCTTGCTGACTGACTGGATTTGGTGCATTCCTCGGCCATGCCCTTGCTGGCCAGTCTGTGTGAAATAAGGCTCTGACCTTTGCTAAGCCTCCAAGTTTGCTGCAGAGCAGTTCTTAACACTGTATCTGCATTTTAGCATGTGCTGGAATATAAACAGCGTGGGAGACCTGTGTTTCAGATTGGGCTTGAGCCTTTGCTTTAGTTGGTTCAATAGAGATAGTCACACACAGATCCTGCATTTAATAAACTATTGGTATTTGTCTTTAGTTTCTTTCATATTTTAATTTTAAATATGTAATGGTTTAGATGTCTGTAAAGAAAATAACAAATAACTTTTTTTTTCTTTTTAAAGGGATGCTGTGATTAAATGCTTCTCATCCTGTCTAGGGTAAATTATAAACAGGAACCACTGTCCACTGTAAAAGCCAACTGTAAATTGCTCAGAAAACTATTTACTTTTCTACTCCTGAAATAACCAGTACCAATTTAGTATTTTCTGTGCCTTTTGCATTTGGAAGATTAAATAATTTTTACTAGAAAGAGTTTTAAAAATAAATTTGGTTAATTGTTTGTGTTTACCCTGGAACTTCCAGGCTTTTTTTTAACAAAAAAGTACATTGAAATACTTCATGCAGAGTAGTCTTAAAACTACTTTGCATCCAGTAACAGTTTATTCCTCAGTGGAGGCAAGCCACTATGATCTGCATAGTGTGCATAAAGATTTCATTTACATTTCTGTCTAAAATTTGCAAGGTGCCATTCATGTTTGTACATTATCCACTGTATGTTTTCCCAAAGACAGAGTTTTATAAACATTGTAAAGATTTGGTAAGTTATAATTAACTTCTCATTTGAAATGTTCTGTACATGTGCCTTGTGAAAAAAGCTTAATGAGGATATGTGAAAGATCTGTTTAATGCTTGTTGGATTTTATTGAAAAACTGTATTTTAAATGATTTTTTAAACTTTCGTACTTAAATGCTTTTTACTAAAAGAACTTATGGCAAATGTATAAATGAGACTTGTGAAATAAATTTGTTTTAAAGGTGCCTAAAATAATTTTCTTTAGAAATCGGCTACAGAGGCTGAAAATTTCAGCATTACACTTGAATAACTATGAAAGTAGAAAAAGGGGGATATGTACATGACTATATCCAAATTTGGTTATTAAATTTGCAGAAGTGACTTTAAAGCTTCTTCATTTTTGGTATTTAGACAAACTGTTCATCCTGACTTAAACTGATAACAGATTGAAATGAAATAATTTAATACTTTGCCTGGCTTCAATAAGAGATTCTCATTTCTAAATTTTTTCAAGTAAGAGCTTTTCAGTTATTCTGGAGCAAAGTTAAATCCGTAATGGTTGATAATATATTGCAGAGGTTCTTTTGCACAGGATAGATGTGCTTGATTCATGTGTTCAAAACCTGTTGTTTTGGAATTACTTTTTTTTCTGTTAATCCACAAATACCGAAGAAGGAATGGCTTTTAAAGACATGAGCTGCAGTGTCAGGAAGGGGAAAACCCCAGTCTTAGTATTCAGGGCTCAGACTAAAGAGAGGAATTGCAGTACAATACATTCCTGTGAATCTCAGTGTATTTTGCAAAACATAGCAATATCTTTTGGGGAAACTGTATACAGGGTGATTGCATTATTTTGCATCTAAACTGCCAACCAAGGAACACCTTTTAACTGATTAAAAAAACAAATTGCCAGTGAGGCATCCTTCCTGCTGGTGATGGGGGCCTGGGTAGTCCTGGCCCTGCAGCAGGCTCTTGGGCTCGCTAGTAACTGTGTGGTGTAGTGACATGTGCTCCAGCTTTGCCCACCCCAGCACTTCAGTGCTGGGGGACCCTTGAGGGAACTTTGAGTTCCTTGTAGTTTTCAATTTGCATTGAAGTAGCATATGCAGAGGTGGTGATGGATGTAGTCCAGGTTATGGCCATCACCGCGTCTTCCTCTCTTGCTGCCACTGATCACAGCTGACCCCAAGGGGATCCCTTCCCACTAGTCAGTCAGTGCTTCAGCACTGGGCCTTCAGTTGCTCCAGAGCTTGTTTTGCCCATAATCCATCAGTTCTGATGGTATACAATTAATTACTGTAAGTTTTAATTAGAATGGTATTGGTTATTCTGATATTTTTCCTATTTATTTATGCACTATGGTAAATAATGAAGTTAACACTGCTCAGTTAACACTTTGATCACCAGGAGAGAAAGGGTTCAAGAGCTGAGGTCCAAAAGTTCCATGTACCGGTAGGCCCCTATATGCACTTTAATCTGTTACATTATGTGCTCTTGTTTTTCTCTCCTGAAAATGTAAGGATTTACTTCCTCCATCTGCATACAGAGCACATACACTTTATTGTTTTATCTATATTTTTTGCTCCTTCACATCCTGTCTTTCTTTAGTGAGTATTCCAAAAGCTCACAGCTGATGAATCCTCATAGTATAATACCTTTTATGATAGTGTGGAACCATAGGTGTGAAGATCTCTATCCCAGTGGACTACATATGTTTTGCCTATCTTTTGATAAAGTTTTGGTATGCTACGTAAAATAGTACTTCGAAGTAAATGCTGTAGAAATGATATGCCATGACTACTTTGGCTAAATTTTGGAGTGGTAGTAATCTTGGATTGACAGGAAACATGTTTACTTACTGCTGTCCCATGAAACCTCTACACACCTCTGTTGTTGAGTAGGACTTGAAAGGAAATTGCTGCCTTGTCCATCAGAAAAAAAACCCCAACCGACAAAACACAAAACAAACAAAAAAACAAACAAAACCCAAAACCAACCAACCAAATCCAAGAACCAAAACCCACAACAAAACAAACCAAGAAACCACCACAACAGCATTGTTGAACTATGCACTCTGTCTCAGTCACAGATGGATTGAGGCTAGGAAGAAACACGTCCGGACTATGCTCTTCCTGAGTAAGCAGAGCAGCTCTTGTCCTTAAATTTGGTGTAGTAGCAAGTCTGCAAGTTGTCTGAGTGTGAGTGCAGTCTTGTCTAGTCTGCCTAACCTTATTCACGGTAATTCAAGTAATCAAGGAGCTCAAAATATCATTAAAGTTTTGAAGAGGGTGTTAGTGTAATGTGACATTAAAATACTGCCCTTTCACATTTGGACGCTTGAGGACTCTGGGAAGAATTTGGAGCCTGTTTGCCCTAGGGGCGTGCATGAGCCCCGCCGTACTGTTCTTTACCTTCGGCTCTGCTGTGGGCCGGGCGGAAGAGGATCGGGAAAAGTAGCACTCGCAGCGAGCTAGTGAGGCTCGTTCAGGAAGAACGGACAGTGCCGGCAGTACCCCAATCCCTGCCCGCACGCCCACCCCGCGCCGGGGAAGGGTGTTCCCGGGGCGGGCGAAGGGCGGGAAGGGGGGCGGGTTATCGGGAGGGAAAAGCCACGACTGTCGGTGCAGATCGAGCTCGCATCCAGCGCCGGCGGTCGGGGCTCCTCGTCTGCCTGTGGCCATGGGGCTGCAGCCCCGGCGCGCCGCGGGCCCCTGCCCGCCCGCGGGGAGAGGCGCCGCTCTGCCCGGAGCGCGCCCCACGGCTCCCTGGGCCCGCAGCGATGAGCCGGAGGGAGCTCCCGGCCGCACCGCCACCCTGCCGCCTCTCCTGCCGGCCCCCACGGCTTCCTCCGCTGCCGCCCGGCTGCAGCCCAAGAAGCCGCCGGCGGCCGCCTCGGCTCCCAAGAAGGCAGCGCCGCGGCCCGCGGAGGAGAAGGCACCGAGGAAGGCGCGGGGAGCGCCCCCGGAGCGGCCAGGTCCCCTCTCCAGCTCCTGGCCCTGCTCGTCCCTGCAGCGGCCGCCGCCACGGAGGGTGCCGGCTGAGCGGGGAGCGCGGCCCCAGCCCGCCCCGCCGCAGGCGCGGGGGCGCCCGGGGGCGGGCAGCCGCTCCTGTGAGAGCCTCGGCGGGGGACCGGGGGAGGCGGCGGGGCGCTTCTCTCTCAGCCTGCCCCCGGAGGCGATTCGAGTGCTGCAGCGCCGCAGCCTGGAGCGACAGCGGGGGCAAATCACCCCCGCGCCCGGCGGCAGAGCGACCCTGGCCCGGCGCGGCGGCGGCGACCTGCGCGCCCTGCTGAAGGTTTCGCTGCTCAACGACCAGCACCGCTACGACGACGAGGAGTATGAGGAGGAGGAGGAGGCGGGGGCGGCAGCAGACGAGGGGCTGGTGCGGAAATGCACTGAGTGGCTGCGCGGCGTGGAGAAAGCGGTCGGCCGCGACCACCCCGAGCGGCTGGAGACGCTGCCGCACCTCGGCACCCTCTGAGCCGCCCCGGGACCGGGGCCGGGGGAGCGGCGCGGAGGGGCCTCCGGTTCGAGAGGTGGGGCCGCCGTCTGCAGCAGTCATAGCCTTTGTCGTGCCGTCGGCGCCGGGGGTCCCGCCGTGGGGCTGTTCGCAGAGCCCCCCGTCCTGGAGCCGATGTGGGGGGCGGCGCCACCGCTGGGGCGAGGGACAAAGGAGCGGCGACGGCCGGTGCTCGGAGGGAGGGCAGCTGGCTTTGGGCATCCTGCCTCCACCCTTGGGGTTTTTTTTTAAGACTTACGAGTACTTTATAAGATGTGCGTAATGGTTTTGTATATTTGTACATAAAAGTTCATTTTTATTTATTTGAATAAATGACTCCTGTGTTGCGGTAGCCTTTGCGCCTTGGTAGCTTCGCGTCCCCAGTCTGGCGGTGTCCACCAGCGCGTGTTCGCTGTCTCGATGTCCTCAAGGTAAGGATGGCGGGCCGACCGCCGTGGAAAGAGCCTGGTACCGTTCACAGGTTTGCTTGTTGATTCAGTCGCCGCCAACTCGGCTCCAAAGAAGACGCTCAGGCGGAGGAGACGGTGCGGTGCGGGCAGGATATCGAGCAGGTGGGGGCGAGCCCGTCCCTGCTGGGGGGCAGATGGTGGCGGGGGCGGCCACCGCTCCAGCGGGGAGCATTCCTCACATGAACTGGAGGAGGAGAAGGGGGCAGTGCGGGCGACCGCGGAGTGGGCAGAGGCTGATCAGGTCGTCTGCACCCGGGGCCGCGTCTGCGCCGGGCAACGGGAGGGGAGCGGCTGGGTCTGTGCGTGTTCAGCGCGATTTCACCCTTTCCCAGACAGTAATTCAGACACATCCGACCTTTCGAGCTGCTGCCAATTTACGAGGGGGAGGAGGAGGGAAGGAGGGAGGAAGCGCAGCAGCAGCAGCATCCTTTGTCAGCGTCCCCCGGCCTCACATTGCCAGGGCTCACCACAGCCTTCCCCGCTCCGGGCTGTGACCGTACCTGGTGCTCAGAGCTCAGTGTATTGGGAGAGGCGAGGAGGGCCCGCGAGAGGTTAAAAAATTACCGTCAGAAAAGGAAAGGTAAATCTTGAATAGGCTGACAGTTGTCTCGGCCTCCTACTGCCGCTCTCATATTGTTACCCAGCTTCTCAGAACAACAGTCAGACCTAAGCATTTACTGTGATTCTATAAATGTTTTGCAAATGAATGTTTGAGCATGTAGGAACCCGTTAAATTGAATTCATCTTAGCAGAGTAAAACAAAGATCAGTGCCACAAATTGGGCATTATACATTTCACTTAGATGTGAGTTGTTTACACCAGATGACGTTTGTGTTGACTGTTCTATTAAATCATAAAAGATAGACCTTTCTATATATTATTTGCACTATGTAGCAGTGTGCTACATTTTTGTTTGTTCAAGCACTTTTTTCCATTTTTTTAACCTGAAATTTCAGGAATTACATGCTTTGAGAAAATATTTATTTATTAGATGCATTGATACTGCCATTGAAAAAGTGATGAACCACTGTAAGACAAGTGTGAAATAGCTATGCTTGTAGGATGCAGAGGAAAGCAAGGGGCATGAGAATTTACAGAGTCTAATTCTATTTCATTTACACAAATGCAAAGATTCATTTGTAGTGATAGCTATGAAATACATGCATCTTCATATCACTTTAGCTGAGTTTGCATATAATTCTGCTGTAATTATCAATTTTCAGTAACATCTTCAAGCAAATATGCCTCAACAGTCGCAAATTTCTTGCCAAATTTAATATATACTGGATTGATGTAGACTCACTTTTTATTGTTGTTTTTCCGTCTTCTAACAATAAGGAAAATGGTAATAGTTAAGCTATAGCTGAATTTTCCTTTTATGTCTCTTTTGGAAATGCATGTTTACAAATGAGCATCCTGGACTCCTAATGTTGTTCCTTATAACTGCTCTATGGTTTCTTATCGACTATAATCAGTATCTCCAATTGCAGCAAAAAGTGATTCACTCATTATGGGCTGAAGTATGTTAAAGCTTGTGAGGCTGAAAGCTGCTTTGTTCAGAGCCTGAAGTGTGGCAAAAAAATCAATAAATTTGAATGCACAGCAGCAACAAATACAGCATGAGCTGAAGGGGTGTGAAACTGAAGAAGACGGCCAACTCTGACAACGGAGGAATCTGCTCAAAGTACACTAGAAAGAAGAATTTGAGAACTTGGGAGTTACCTTTTATTTTCTTCCCCTGAAGAATTGATTAGAGCAAAGCTGCCCAGACGTCATGCAGCTAAGATCTTCTGTCATTGTGCACGGTAACTGGAAGTGGGACTGAGATGGGTTCATCCTGAGATGAGGTTGTGCAGTCCTGATTTTGGGCCGGATTCTCTGAAGTCATGTAACTACTGACTGACTGTAATAGTACCTCCTTTACCAAATGGTAACATTAAGATTTATTGTTTCTTTATTTGCTCCCCTTCTGTTCTCTTTGAATGTTAAATGATGTTCTGAAAAAATAGTGTTCTGAATACTTTCATCTGAAATACCCATAAATCTTATAAGCAAAATTAGAGGAGACAGAGGAAGATACTTCCTCCATACTAACAGTAACTTCTGTTAATTTTGCACATAGCTTACCTCTCAGTATTTTTTCAGTTAAAAAGAAAACTGTTGGGTTCTAATATCTAAAAATTGTAGATAAGTTACACATAATAAAACTAAGTCATTAATGTGTGTCATAGTGGACATTTGAGCTCAGTGGCAGGCCTCAAAAGACCAAAACGTAAATTCAGACAATGGTGAAAACCCTGAAATAAATCATTGCATTTGTCTTAGTGCAGCATTGCTACTGCTATCTAAGATCCGTTATTTATTGTATGGGAATAGGCATCATATAGTGAACTAATCACTGTTCCTTTCCTAAATGAAAGAAAGAGCATTCTGAACTGTTGAGAACCAAAACTTCCCATCCCACTGGTCCCCAGTCAGCCTGAGCCTTCCTCCATCTGAGACATGGGTTCAGGACAGATTGCTATTGGCATGACTGGAAAATTCAAGAAAATTCAAGGACAATCTGTCCTTGTCCCTCTGCTGCACATGCGCTCAACTAAGGTGAGAGAGCTTTCCCTGGACAGATGAGGCCACTGCTGGTTTCCCCCCAGTTCTCAGCCTCTGGAGCTGCTCCATTGTAAATACTGACAAGGTAAGAACCCTTCTTCTATATCAGTGAACAAATCAGGCATGTTTAGGAATACTTCTCAGATGGCATAGATTTGATTTTACCACAAGAACCAACAAGCAGCCTGGAAGTCACTACATTTGGCTTTTACAGTATATTAGCCACCTCCAAAGTGCCTTAGCCTAAGCCTCCCATTCATAACCCTTTTAGCTGCTGAAGGAGAATTAGGAGCAGCTGGTGCCATGGATGCTTAAATTAATCAATAATTGCATCAGGGTAGATAGCTTAGATAGCTTCTTCCTCCAAACCCATCAGTATGATTTACAGTGGAAAAAAACACCCCACCAACACATATTGGTCCTTTTTTTTTTTTTTTTTTTTTTTTTTTTTTTTTTTTTTTTTTTTGCAAGGTAGCTAATAAATAGTGTTGGACTTACTGCTGTTTCTTGGCAAGCCTGAGTGGAGAGAGGAAGCCCATGTTTCCCTAACCAAACAGCCCCAGCAATGAGCATCACTGAGTTTGTTCTTGGGTTCTAGCCCAAATCTCAGCTTTCCCCCTCCACTGACAGTTAGTACCATCTTTCTTGTCAAAGCTGGGGGGAGAGCATGGTGTTGCCCAGCTTTTATGCTTTTTGTGGCTTTCCTCACCAGAGTGCTTGTAAAGCTCATACAAGTGGTATTTGCCGAGCTGTTGACAGACATCTACACCTGCCCTTCCCAGCTGTGCCTAAGGGATCTGACACACAGCTGGATGGGAGCATCAGTTGGTGGGCTGCTGTCCTGAGAGGACTAGTGGGGTGGTGTTTGTGTTGATCAGCAACGGTCCTTAGAGTTGGGGGGCTCTTTCTTTGGTTTTGTGGGTTGTTTTTGGGAGGTACTTAAAGGCACATTCTATTTTCTCTCTTAAGAAAAAGCCTCTTTTAGGTGGTGGTTTTGTAAAGAGAAGAGCTTTTGAGAAGGCTTGGCTTTGGCACTTCCTGGAAGAGAAATCACTGCTTTGCAATGACCAGGTATGGTGATGTGCAAGCTCCCAGCTGACACCAAAGGTGGCAGGAGGTGAGCCCAAAGGATGCCAAGTAACTATCCTAACAAACCTTACTGCAGTTCACTTCCTGGTCTCCAAGAAAGATGTGAATGTTTCTTTTCCCTTCCCCGGGAGCTAAAGCTGAAGTAATAGTCTCTTGAAATAGTGCTGGTAGTTTGTTATTTATGGCTGCTCTTGTTACTTCAGAATATAGGGAAAACATTGTGACCCTGACTGAATGAATGCCTGCAGCAGGACTGCTGAGCTGATGGGCTCTAGTTTGGATCTCACCCAGCTTCAGGACCAAGCAAGCAGATGGCTGTGGCATGGGTTAGGAGCTACTTCCAGAGAAAGAAGCTGTTTCCTAGTGATAACAGTAAGATGAATGCATAGACAATCAAATAAGGTCTTTTAACCGCTCATAATTTTATCAAAAGAGTTAAAGGTTATTTTGGAAGGACATTATTTAATATCCATTTTTTCCCTTCCTTGCAGTGTACAATGAGGACCTAAGAATTCTGGGATGGCTTAAAGGTTTCTTTGTTGCCTTCCCCCCCCCCCGCACCCTATAAAATTGAAGATATGAAAAACATGCGGCCTGTGTTTTGCAGTCAGTTGCCTTGAGTTAATGACTGTTCTGGTTTCATTTGAGATAGAGTTGATTTCTTCTCAGTACTGTGCTGTTTTGGATTCAGCATGAGAATAATGTTGATAACACACTGATGTTTTTTGCTAAGTCCTTTTCATCCTAAGTCAAGGCCTCTTTCTTTATGTTTCATGCTCTGCCAGTGAGGAGGTGCACAAAAGGAAAACTGGGAGAGAGCATAGCCAGGAGAGGTGACCAGAACAGACTAGAGAGGTATTTCATACTATAGAACATCATGCCCAGTATATAAACTGTGGGAGCTACCCAGAATGGGGGCTGATCTGGGTTTAGGGTCTAGTATTGGTCAGCGGGTGATGAGCAGTTGTATTGTGTATCACTTGTTTGTTTTGTGGTTTTGTTTTACTAATTATAATTGCTATTATATTTTACTTTGTTTCAATTATTAAACTTTTCTTAACTTACAAGCTTTACTTTTGATTGTCCTTTCCATTCAAAGGCTGGGGGTGGGGAGGTGGTGAGTGAGTGGCTGCATGGTGCTTAGTTGCCAGCTGGGCTTAAACCACGACAATGACATTAGGTCATTCTTATTGTAAGGGCCCACATTTTGTGTGGAAGTGCTAGGTGTAATAAAAACTGTAAGAATTATTTCTTCTCCCGGAATTAGTTTTACTTTTTGGTTAAATTAACTGTTCAGTGAGGGTCAACAGATGTTCAGCTCTCAGCACTCTGACTAAAAGGAGTGTAATACTTCCATTATCTTTCCTGTCACCATCACACTTGGGTGTTGGTAAGAGCTGAGCTTTGAATGAAAAGACAAAAAAGTTCCTAATTAAGCATAAAAATAAATTAGCGCAGAAGCTATTACCTTCTTAGCAAATAGCACAGGAGAGAGCAAACTGTAGCAAATTCTGACTTTTTTTTCCCTAAACATTCTCTTGGCTGCCAGTTTCACCCACCGGCATGGTCCCAACAGCCGGGCAGGTACGTCACACAGTGAGGAGCTAGGAAATGATTCACAGCATTTACTTTGCCAGGGAATTTTCTGAACAGCAAAACCCGAGTGGGAACAGCACTAAGCAACCAAACTCTCAGTGTTTTAAATTAAAACGTATCAGAGGCTGTTTAGGACTAGGACAGAAGTAGGAAGAAGTAAAAGCAAAATTCTGCCGAAAAGGCGCTTGGTGCGTGAAGCACCTGAGAGCAATTGACAAGGGAAAAACTGCGGCGAGGGGGTGTCCCGAGGCGAGAGGTGTCCTTGGCCGGGGTCGTGCCTCTCCCGTGGGATGGGAAACCATGGGAACCTCCCGGGAGTGCCGGAGGGGACAGAGTGGTGGCCGCCCCTCTGTGGGGCCCCATCGACCCTGCTCCCCCTGTGGTGGCCCGGCCCGGGAAAGAGTTAATAGTTCTCAGTAAGAAGCTGCGGCTTTACTTTTCTCTCTCGTTTTTGTTTGTATTTTGTTGATGTTGTTGTTGTTGTTTTTGTTTTAACATAATGCGTGTGGTAATTATGGCTATGTTCTTTGAAAACATTTTATTTGCTTAGTGTCTAGTATGTGAAGATCTTTAAAGAGATCCAGCCATTTTAGTAGATATTCATATAATATAGTCCTCCCTTTTTTTTTTCCCTTCTGCAGCAACCACTGTTACAGCTTCTCATATCGTTTCTGATAATGAGCGAAACCGGTCTCCCCTTCTTTCCCTCACCCCTGCAGTGCAAAGTTTCAAAGCAAAGAGAAAAAGAGTCAGCAGTTGAATAAATGTTTCTGTGAGACTGTTGTGTGGGACTATGTGTCATTTTATCACCATGTGAAGTACTGAACAGATCTTGAGAGTGAATTTCATGCCTCTTACCGGGTGGGTTGTCATACATGTTCACACACCTTCTCCACATCAGTTTGCAATACCTGAAATCTCTTCTCAAGACAGGCCCGAACACTCTGCACAAACATTATTAAAAAAGACCACTATCATGCCCTGGTGTTAAGTACTTGTTAAGAAGATATTTTGTACTGCTCACTGTATTCAGCCATATGTTCTATGGAGATTGGATGTTTTTCAATTCATAGGTAGTCCCTGAGCTGCTTTTAACTTTGAGAAAAATGTTGTACGACAGCTTCATGCAGGTCATTTTAAGGTAGAAAATAATATGTCTTGGCAGATATATGTGTGGGGTAATGCACAAGATGTCATTAGGATGTGATTCTTTTAAATTACACATACATGGAAAATACTAATCTATTGCTTTCAATCTCATTTAATTTTTCCCAGTGAGATTACAAAAAGATTTTCTCAAAATGGGAAATAGTCTGACCCAGACACTGTTAATGATCACCGTGATATCTTTAACTAAAAACTGGCAATATTGCAGGGGGAAATTACTGTGAAATAGCAAATATTGAATTCATATTGATGCTTACAATGCTTTTTGAACTAGTTTTTGGTTCCTGGCATGTTTAGGAAAGTTTACTGCGCAGGATAGGGCATTCATGTGCTTATTACTAATCTTGTCATATTGACAATTTACTGTTAGGAGTGTCTTTTTTTTTCTTTTTTTGGACTTCTTTTGGAATATATGTTTCTATAGTGGTTCTCTGCTGTTTGAGATAAAAAAATTGCTACAGTGTGTGAATTGTTTGGAAAATGCCAGTTACTTCTAAGGGTTTAATGACATTTCTGAAAAAGTAAGCCAATGACCTATAGGCTTAAATCTGTTAATGAGGAATCTCTGCCTCCACTGCCAAATTATTTTAAAAATGTTGAAAGCCACAGGAACATATATTGAGAATGTGCAGCTGTCAAAACTGCAGACTAGGGGCAGGCAAAGGAGGAAGAACATGGGTTATCTAGGGCAGTACTGAAGTGTAAGTAGAACCATGGACTACAAAATTCACCTGCCAAATGGTACTCTCATCAGAATGAGCAACTGGAAAACGATAGTGAATCAAGCTAGAAATCCTAAACCACTCCTTTCTTGAGTCTGAAGGGTTGGGGTTTTTTGGATTTTTTTTTTCTTGGTGGGTTTTTGTTTTCATTGGGGTTTTTTTGTATTTTTTTTTTTGGGGGGGGGGAGGGAGGAAAAATGTTCCGTGATTTTGTTTTCTTTTTCTTAACTTCAGAATGAGGAATTTCAAAAGAAATTTGAAGACAGTAAATGTATCTCTAACCTGTGGTTAATGAGTACAGATTTCAAGCAGAGCAGAAGGAGCTCAGAAAACTGGTTGCAGACAGCTGTGCCACCACTGGCTGATCCCCAGCTGTGGCAGGACCTGCTTGGCTCAGCTGGCTGAGCTGCTTAGCATGCCTGCTTCCTAAACCATCAAATCCTGTGAGCTGGAAACCTTTGCTCATCTGGTTTGCTTTGACTGATCCAGCTAGGGAGAGCTTCCACAAGGGGCTGAGTCAATGGATGCAAATGAGATGTTTTGCTATAAATCTTGACTGTGCCCAGCAGGTCAGAATACAATTTGTACCACACTGACCACCTGAAGAGTTTACTCTGCACCCCTTTTTTTTCTCTTTAGGGGAGGTGGGAGTGGGGGGGGCTTAAACCATTGCTAGTTAGAAGCACATGAATAGAGAGGAGGTGGTGTTAGTAGTCACGCAGGAACCTATTTCCATGCCTCTTGGATGGGGTCACATAAAAAGCAGGATTTCATCACACCTGATGCTCACAAATGTGCCTACATTGACTGGTTTAGTTGTTTACAGGGGAAATAGCAAGTTGTGTGAGCGATCCTTGTTCGCACCATTGTCTGGATACAGCCAGACAGCAAAGGTGTTCAGTTTTGCTTGAGAAGCAAGCAGGGTGGGTCACGAAGGCTCCTTTCTTTTTTTTTTTTTTTTTTTTTTTTTTCCATTTCATCATGAAAAGAAAGAAAACAGTTTACAAGAACATATCTTAAGGTGTTTGGTGTTTATATCCCATTTATAGACCAGTAATTCATCCTCAGTTAATATAACAACAAAGTTAATAAAATAACCTTTATTTTGATTCTCTGAATGATTCACCATCCCTCTTTGTGGCTGTTTTGTTCAAAAATAAAGGGGGAGAGGTTATCCTGAGTACAAAGGGAGATGATAAAAGCTTCAGTCTGTTTCTGGACCTCCTACGAAATATTGCCATAGTAACAAGGAGCTGAATGTGGCTGTTCATCACTGAATGCTGAGGTAAAGCAGACACTCTTCTTATTCAAAGGAATATTACTAAAATACAGATTTTTTTAAGGGGTCAATAAGAAATCAGGAAAAAATTACCTGCCTTACTTAGCACACTCTGTAAGCTAATAATAAAGTGCCACTTTGAAAGAAGACAGGACAATTGAGGCATTTAGCAAACATTTATAATGCTGTAAATCAGAGCGTTTTATCTTCCACACAAAGCAATGCTGAGGTGTGATGTGCAGTCACGGATAATTTATTTTGACATAGAAGTTACATGAGACAAGCAGCTCTCTTTTCTTCTGGTTAATACATTTCCGGCATGGCCGTTGGCTGTGGCTATTGCCAAATATTTGCACTGCAGCACTGACTGGCTATCCTCTAATCCAGATTAAAGTGTAAGTGGGTAAGGTATTTTGTGTTTTTAGAACTGCATGATGTCACCTAGATCCTGGTGCTATATTTTAACCATTAAACCACCTCCAGAGGGGTTTAAATTCTGTTCCAGGTGTGTGCATCAGGTAAGTATTTATATCTTTGACATTTCAGTGGAAAAATGAACAGCTCAATTGCTCACAGGAAAAAATTGGGAAGGATAAAAAAGTGTACCCATTTCAGTGCACTATTATTAGTGAAAATTCTGTTACTAGTGTAACTTCTCTGTGCTTTATAGTAAGAATTAGATATTTAACTTGTTGCATTTCTATGTCCAATAGCAGCTTCCCCCCTGCCTTTTTTAACTTTTCTGGATTTGATCAAATGATGGATTAACAATGAAATTTGTTGCTCTGCACACACTCTTAAAGGCCTTAATAAATTGCAAGATGTTGGTTCTGTTTATTTGTGGGTTTTTTCTTTCTTTTTTTTTTTTTTTTCTGAAGGCTTTTTCAGTCTGAAGCATGTTTAAAATGAGAGCTTGAAGCACAGAGCAGAACCTGAGTATCAGCCACGGCTGCCTTCTGAGATTAGGGGGAAGGAAGTGGCTGCAGGAACAGCTTTTTGTACATGGGTGTTCTCTGGCAACCTCTCATGCCTCTGGTTGGGGTTACAACAGGGACAAGAGTTAGAGGCAACAGGTTTGGGGAAAGAGATCTGTACTCAGAAGCCTGGGAAAATTATACAGATTCAGGCCAGAGCCAGGCTGAAGGGATGGAAAGACTCAGCCAGGAAGAGCAATAGCTGGAGACTGCTGCTGTTGGAAATTGCGGAAGCGGAGACTGAGCTGAGAGTGCTGGAAAATCCCTGTGAAATGCCAAAGTAAATGGATGCCCCAACTCCTTTTGTGACTGACTTAGGTAGCAGGTGACAAACTGGCTCCACAGGCAGAGCCACTTTCTTCACTCAGCTCTGTGCTGGCACCCAGGCAATCCTACATGTGCTGGCAGCTGTTGGAGCAGGTTAGGTGGTACATGAGGTGTCATTTCTTTGAGAAGGCAGGAGGTAGGGTGGCCTTCACTTTCTCCTCTTTGAAAAAGGCACCCTGGGCAGTCAGACACACATGCACACCACGGTTGTGGAGTCAAGTACACTGAAGTTAGGTATGAAGCAGTTCAACCATCCCCCTTTATTTATGTGCTCATATAGCCTTTTTATAAGTGATCTCTACATCACTTACATGCTTAGAATTTGTTTTTCCGGGTGCAGCCTAGTTGTGTATCTGGGAGTTTTTATGCCTTCCAGTGATGGATTTTACAACAGCTCCCTGCACTGGCCAGTGGAAAATGCCAGAACCTGCCTAATTATGCAGCCTGTTAAGCTGCACGTTGGCATGTTCTGGTTGATATTGACTGTATTGCCTGGTAAAAGGCTGGCAAACCCAAACTTTCAAGTTCTGAGCATACTAATGGGGGCTTTCTTGTATTTCATATGTCAGGGAGTCTGTATGGAAGGGAACAAATAAGGATTATGTAACTTGGTCTCATTCCACAGTTTGAACAGTTGCCTGAAGCATATTTTTATTGCTTGTCTATGAGTAATAAATACTTTTTTTTTTTTTTTCCCTATGAAACTGTGTCCTATCTGACTTGTGGAGCTCCAGTTTCAAAATGACCTCTTAGGATTTCAAGGGCAGCTTTGTGTGCGTGGGAAACTGTTGTTCATGAGGAGGCAGGAAACAAAGATTTGGAAGAGAGAAAATTTATCTGTGGGTTACTATTTCTTTCAGATTACTGTAATTAAAAGAAAAATTGATAGTTTTAGGAACAAATGAAGTGCAGGATTCCTCTCTACCTGGTTCATGTCCTGGTCTTAGGGAAGAGTTATTGCTTCATGTGTGTCCTCTTTACCTTGTCTAGTAGTCTCAGAGGAGAAGTTTAAATATTCTTCCTCAATGTAGTCAATAGCCTGGTTGTTATGTTGCTTTCCTGGAAGGTGAGGGAATGTGGGTGTGAACTGTTTCATGCAGAGGAAGTGAGTGCGGTGACCGCTACTGGCCTGTTACTCAAAGTGTGCCATTTTGTAGGACAGTTTGCACCATCAGAGAGACGACAGTGAAATGTTTCTGCTTGTGAGAGAGCCCAGCTCCTATAGATGTCTTAGTTGATAGCTAATTCACTACAATAATGTTTAGTGCAACATCTGAGCGTAGATTTGAGAAACATTTTTCTTGGACACTTCTTTGTTACTTTAGGGATTTTTCTTCCCCACCTCTGCAGCCAGGGTATGAAAAAAAGTCAATGCTCCTTTGAGAGGGCAAA